ACCACCTCCCTCTCACTCCCCCTCTCTGTTGGGGTCCCTCAAGGCTCTGTCCTCGGGCCCCTTCTTCTCCATCTACACCTCCTCCCTTGGCCAACTCATACACTCTCACGGCTTCAACTACCACCTCTATGCCGACGACACACAAATCTATCTCTCAACCCCCCACCTCACCCCCTCGGTCTCCGCCCGAATCACACACCTGTTGAGCGACATATCAGACTGGATGTCGCTCCACTTCCTTAAACTGAACCTCTCCAAAACCGAGTTTCTTGTCTTCCCTCCAGCCCGGACACCACCCCCCATTGACTTCTCCATCATGTCCAACAACGCCACCATCAAACCCGCCCCGCAGGCCAGAGTACTTGGTGTCATTTTGGACTCCAACCTATCCTTCCAGCCCCAAGTCCAATCTTTACAAACTCGTGCAGACTCCACCTCCGCAACATCGCCAAAATCCGCACGTTCCTAACTCCAGAAACCACTAAACAGCTCATCCACTCCCTCATCATATCATGACTCGACTACTGCAACTCCCTCCTCACTGGCCTGCCTCGCCGCTGGCTATCCCCGCTTCAGTCCATCCTGAATACGGCTGCCAGACTCATTCACCTTTCCAACCGCTCCGTTTCCGCCACCCCCTCTGCCAATCCCTCCACTGGCTTCCGATTGCGCAACGGATCAAATTCAAAATCCTAACGCTGACGTACAAAGCTGTCCACCATACTGCCCCGCACTACATCACTGACCTAATATCCAAGTACCGCCCAGCACGCACACTCCGCTCCTCACAAGACCTCCTTCTCTCTAGTTCCCTGGTCTCCTCCTCCCATGCCCGCCTCCAGGACTTCTCCAGGGTGTCACCCATCCTCTGGAACTCCCTGCCCCAACCCATCTGATTATCACCTACTCTCTCCTTTAGGCGCACCCTGAAAACCCATCTCTTCAGGGAAGCCTACCCTGCCCCCTGCTAACTTGCCGACCTCCTCCACTCTTCCTACCACTCCATCCCCCACAGCTATCTCCTCCTGTGCCACCATCCCCTCCCTCCTAGATTGTAAGCTTGAAAGAGCAGGGCCCTCGATCCCCTCATGTTTTGCATTGTATTGGTATTGTTCTGTCACATGTTCTGTCCCCCTTTGTAATGTACAGCGCTGAGCGAACTATTGGCGCTTTATAAATACTGTATAATAATAATAATAATTTACGTCACTTGCCCCTTTCACCAGCCTCTTCACAAAAGAGGTGAGAGGAGGGGCTGAATGGGGAAGCTTCTGCTGTCAGTCAAGGCAGAAAGCATGGGCGGGGGGACATGATCTTACCCTGACCAGGGAAGATAGAGGCACGCTGTGCTTTTGCAGAGTGCCTGTATCTAACAGCATGATGACAGGAGACAAACTGTCCACGGAGCACAGGTTGGCTGCCATGCTTGGTGTTGATCAATCTACTATCAGGAGGAAGGGAACCAGAAGAATCAAGCAGGTAACTAAGAACAGCAGGCATGATTAAAATAATATGAAAAAAAACACACAAAAAAATACAATAAAAAGAGGCAGTGCAATGGATTTTTTTAGGTTTACAAACACTAAGTCATAAGCTTCTTTGCAAGTGAATAGAGATTAGCTAGAAATTGGTCTTATGACATGTTCTAGGATATCCACACAAAAGAGCAGAACAGAATGTAATTGCTGTGACTTCTCCATTAAAAGCTGGTCCTAATATATAGAATCCTCCTGTCCAGTTAGATGCAGCTTAGCATACTGAGTTTGCATAGTAAGCTAGCTGCAGGGCTGGACCAGCCAGAGTAAAGAGAAAACATCTCAAGCTTTCTACATACAGAATCTGTGAATGAAGGAACATCTTCAATTGTTACAGCAATATCTTTGTTTGAGACTGAAGGATCAACTATAGGAACAGACCACTTTTTAATGAACTATTTTTCCACTGGAAAGAATTCAGCAAAGATCTTTCTTTCTCATATATTTTTTTCTCTGTATATTTTTCATATTTGTTTAGTAGCCCTGAAGAAGGGAGAGTATTTTCTCCCGAAACACATTGGCTTGATGTATTTGTCGTTACTCTCAATAAATGCCTCCTAATCTACCATCAAAGTGCATTCTTTTGGACATCTGGCGCTCCTTCTTTTCTACTATTCCAAGACAACAATATATCTTATCCTTGAATCTCATGTATGGGGATTTAGGATAGAATCAGAGGACTTGAGAGAGCAGAGCGCCATGCCAGAGAGGTAAATGTTACACAACCAAAAGGTGAGGCACTGTGCTGATCAAGGCAAAGCCTATGTGCCTTGAATTAGAGAAAAGGTGCATGCACGAGAAATGTAAGCTGCACACAATTACAGCAATATCTATGGAAGGGGAATGCGGAGTAGGATTTGAGCCCTGCCTACATGATGTAAACAGAAGCTTGCTGATGGGAGAAAGTGAAAAATATTGAGTTTAATTCTACTTTAAGATGCTTAGACAATCCATAAAAGGTAGACGTGTGTCCCCCGACCCACCCCGCTTCATCCAAAAAGGGAAGTTCTGCTTGTTTGCCCCCCCCCCCCCCCACTTCCACATCTGGTACTTTTTGGGGGGGAGTGGGTACCTGCTCCCACAGTCGGTCAGATGCGTTGTGGCAATCTTAGTCAGAAGTTTGCCCCCCCCCCTGCCTCCTTCCCCTGCAGCCTTCTGACACACTTCACAGGTCCCAGAAGACTGCAGGACCATTCAAAAAGCACAGTGTGCTTCGCACATGTGCACTGGGAGACCAAATATGAAGCTGCAAGGCTCCACTTCCAGTTTCCCTCCTGATGATGCCGACACCTGCACCCAAAGCCGACTGAAGAAGTGAGGATATCGCTGGATCCCTGGACAGGTAAGTGTCATATTAAAAGTTCGCAGCTACAGTATTTGTAGCTGCTAACTTAATTTTTTCAAGGGAGCCTAGAGCTCCACTTTAAGGAATAACTGTAGCCTAAGGGCACCTTCCTCTTTATATAGGACATTCAATGCATCAGGAGCTTAAAGAATAGGCAATATTTTAATTGCATTTAGTCTGTTAAAACACAGTGTATCAAATAACTGTCTTTAAAATAAAAACTTATTTTCTTTTCATCCTTTATTTCATTCAGCTATGAACTCTCAATAAATGCCTCCTAATCTACCATCAAAAGTGGATCATTATGACATTTTATGGATTGGGTCTATATTATTATTATACAGGATTTATATAGCGCCAACAGTTTGCTCAGCGCTTTACAATATACAGTAAAGGGAGACAATACAGCAACAATACAGTTCAATACAAGAGGGATAGGAGGGCCCTGCTCCCTGGAGCTTACAATCTAGGAGTATATACTGTATACTTTAATAAACGGCAGAGATTCTTTGACTTGGTAACTTACTTTAAAGAATGCCTGACTTGGCACACTTCTTTTGTGGCTTAATACAAGGGAAAGTCACTAAAGTTTCAACACATCAGGAACACTCTGGAGACTTTAACACAGCTGCTAGATGGGAGATTCCAGTCATTACTAAAAATATGTCCATTGCCTTTTTGGGTAATGAAATCAGAAAGCATCCCCTGCTTTTGTTTAATTTTATTTTTTATTTCAGGTACTTATATAGCGCCATCAATTTACTCAGCACTTTTACATATATACTGTATTTTACATTCACATCAGCATTTACATTAATATTAAGATGTGAGCCAGTGAATCTCCTTGCCATAAGCTGGAGATGAGTCATTGGTTGCTAGAAACCTAGAGGCTGCTAGCATCCTAGTACCCAGAAGCTTTGTGTAGGAAGCTGTCAAATTCATGACAGCTTCCCAGCACATAGGTGTCCCACCCTGAGGACTGGAATCTCTCTGTATGCCAGCTCAGAGTTGGTCTTAATACTAACATGAAGACTTAAGATCATTGTTTTTGAATCTGCGACAGCCGTAGCAATGAGTTTTTAAAGTGGTACAAATAGGAGTAGCCCCTTTTAAAAGGGGCCATATTGCCAGAATAGTGATCTAAATGGTTTAATTAATTCCCCTAACAGGTCTCAATGCTCCAGTTCTCAGTGAGATTGGTGTTTTTGGTCACACTGTAAATAGACAGGGTCCACTTTATTTAAACACAATCTGGGGAATTAACAAAGCTTCCTCCGACAGAAAACTTGTGCACAAAACTGGCACCACATTAAAAACCAGATAGATCTGTTTCAGGTCCATCTGCACCAACCACACCAGTTTCTGTTTCAGAGTGTAATAGAAACTGGTGCAGATTCTGTGCCTAATTAACAAAGGAATCATGGCATTTTCAATACAGAAAATTTCTTCAGATTGGACCTGGCATTTGGGATATGAACTAATTGCAGATAGCTCATGTGCCTTTCTGCCTCATCCTTTCCCTAACCCCTACAAACACAGGGCTCACGGCTCTCTTCCCCCCTCTTGATCTCAACAGGTACAGTAGGTAAGGGGGTGGACAGAAAAAGGCAGAAGTAGCTGCGGCTGTCCTGCTCTTATATAAGAAGGAACATGGTGATGTTACAAAGTGAGTGATGGTATATTGATTTTAACAGCTATTAGTGAAGTTACCAGCTAAATATTGGCTGTATTCAAACATCTCTAACACCAAACATTAATTTCCAATGGTTTTGGTAAATTTTTCTCTTAATTGTTGGTTGTACAACACAGTTACTGCTATCATTCGCATAGTGTACCTGTCCCATGTTATAGTATAAGTTATTTTCAGCAAGGGATCTAGTTTTTAAAGACGCTTGTCAGTACATGTATTAATGTCATGCCACTTTGGGTCTTCACTGTGTACTGGTCTGCTGAAAACAGACAGTTACACTTTAATGTACCACATAAAGTATATTAAAACAGAAAAAGCATATATATACAACTTTTTTTGTTGTTTTTGTACATACCAGATATACATCAGAAGGACTGTTCTCCAGCAAAGCACTCCATATTTTACCAAATCAAAGACACTGTTTGCGGAGTCACCGCTTTTTTAGGGTTCCACTACATTCCTTTAATTTCACTGCAGGAACTTCTTTCCCATTGCCACGAGCTATCTGGCGCAGTACTTCTTCTGCTTTGTCTGTATAACCATGGGAGTATAACCATCTTGGAGATTCAGGGAGTAAACTAAGAACACAAAATAACATGTGTCACATGTGTGTGGTAATATGATGTGTGTAGCACAAGGATAGAGAAGGACATCTAGAAGCACAGAATTTATCACTGTATAACTGTGATTTATTGCAGATCAATTCTACCCATAGGTTTCTCTTATTTTATGCTCTACAAACTCAGACTGAATGTACGCAATTCAGACAGTGATTATAGGTTACCACGATTATACGAACCAAAAGGAGGGAACCCACATTGTTGTGATCTCATTAAGACCTTTCATGAAACTGAGTACGATGCTTGGTGGTTGCAAGCGATGTAGCCAATCAGCAAAGCATGGAGGGCTTAAATAGGCATTCTAAATAAGCCTGCAGTTCTTACTACACATGTATATTATCAATGTGTTGGCTTATTCAAGAAGAAATTTTTCAGAATCTTGATTTCCAGTGGCAAGAACAAGAATGGTATGAGTCTCATCACCTTGTTAGCATTACACTCCTATACTCTCTTTCTGCACATTTTGTACAATGAGCAAGAACATGCTCGGGTCTGTTTCACAGTCCACATGTATGCCTTCTGTCCACTTCACACTGGTTCTTGTGAGTGGGAAGGTTTCTAGTACCTCTCTAAAGTATGTGTTTATCTGTGACCGCTGGTCGCTCCTAACTACCCCGCTTTTTGCTGAGGCGGCACTGCTCTGTGTTTCCCTGGATCTCTCCCCAGACCGGTCATTATGCTGCTGCACTTTCCTTGAGATGTGATGATCCTGTGCTTTCATTGCTGAGGCTGGATACTTCTATCTTATGTGTTTAACTGTTAAGAACATGCTCTCGACTTACAATTGTACTATCTACTTTAAATGAAATGAATGACAGCAGAGGTTACTGGCTTTAGGCATTCACAAAAGCCTATCCAATACTAGTGTCACTGAGCTTAATTAAAGAGGAAATCTGATCGTAAACTTGTTCCCAACCCCATTCTAATTCCTATACTAACTAGCCTGCAGAGGAAAGATGTGTATTCTTACCTATTCACTGGGCGCTCAAGTTTGGTCATATGGTCAACTCACAGCGCTGGCTTCAGGGGAAAGGAGAGATCACTAACAACAGTCTCAATGCCTGGACAGTTAATATCAAAAAAAGTAGTGTGGCACTTACTCCAACAAAAATACTAAGATAATGTGACTTTATAATAATAGTAATAATAATATTAAGTTAGCTTCACCATTTAACAATAGAGTATTTATATAGCGTCAAAGGGTTTGCTCAGCGCTGTACATTAGAATGGGGGACAAGACATGAGACAATACAGTAGCAAAAACAATACACGAGGGTTAGAGGGCCCTGCCCTTTCAAGCTTACAGTCTAGGAATACTGTATAGAAACTATAAACAACTATACATAAATACACCAAATCCCAATGCTCTATTACAATGACAAAGTGAGGGATGGTCCATCCTGAGGAAGTCAAGTGATCGGCGATGCAACACATTGGGTGGGATCTGAGTTAAATCACTTCTGGTCACAGCTGAAGTTGGAAGTTGTGGTGAGAGGACGCGAGATGTGATTATATGCGCAATACAATCTATGTGGGTGTACTTTTAAATATAAGTGTAGATTTCTAAATTGAATAAAAGAGTGTGAGATTGTACTACACTATGGGGCAGTTTCTTTTCATTTCTATAAGTACCACCATTGAGAGAAGATGGATGAGAGCTATTTAAAAGGGACCATTACCCAGCACCAAGCACAAAGCCCAGCCTGTGGGCAATATATCTGAGTGCTTTTTTGATCTGTATGAGAGCATATATTAAATTCAGAGGTGAGCAGTCACTTTGCACAGAGGTGAAGCACGTTTACACAGAAGTGGAACGTGGATATACTGTATGTTGATTTCTGATAAGGATATGGCGAATTGATTAACTCAAGAGTTAAAATATTATTTGACTGGTGGACACTGACATGTTTTCACAATTGAGGATTCACTTAATATTGCATGATCATTTTGGAGTGCACTTACAGCACCGTAACAGTGGTACGAATTTCCCAGCAGTCACTACTGAGTTTTGTGTGCAATTTTAAGGTTAATGTGGATTTTACACATCTTTATGCACTTTAGAATAGTGTTACAGTATTAGGAATTTATGTATATGTATTTAGTTGGATGCTGCCTAGAGCACCACAAAAAAATATTATGGAAAGAAAAAAAAAAATTAAGATACTATTGAAACTTATGTGCAACTTTATATTTAATTTGGAGTGCACACAAATTTATGCCTTTTGTAATTGTAATAGAGCATTGGGATTTGGTGTATTTATGTATAGTTGTTCATAGCTTCTATACAGTATTCAGTAAGCTTCAGCACCATTTAATGATAAAGTCATGTTATCTTACTATTTTTATTGGAGTATGCGACACACTACTATTTTGACAATAGCTTTTCTACATATGTAGGGACACATATATTAGATGTTGGCGGCTGCTCACTCTATGAGTTTGATTCTATGGAAGTGGTAGCGCATAAGTTATTTTGTATTTAAATGCCTGGGCAGTGACGTCACCCATAGGCATACTATGCGGTAATCCACGTCGGCTGTCCCTCCTCTCCCCTGAAGCTGGTGCTGGGTGGCAACCATGGGACCAGACTGTACCAGAGCACCCAGAGAATAGGTAAGTAACCACATCTTTCCTCTACAGGCTAGTTAGCATAGGATTTAGAATGGGGGTGGGAGCAAGTTCAAGATTAGACCAGACTTCCACTTGGAACTGTGGTCTAGTCACACAGGGTCCTTTATGTCATTCCCACCATGGGCCAAAACTTGTGTGGGTTTCTGCCAGGTAATCTAATTTCTTACCACTGTATATATATTGGCATGAATGGGTATCCTCGGCACATCCCAAAACAAAATGAAAAAAGAAAAGACAAGAAATATGGGAATTTGAAGGTGTCACAATCATGCCCACAGGGAGAGGCACATTTCTCGATTTTGCTCCAGGTTTCTGCATTGTGGTATTTCTCTTAAACTAATATGCAGTCACTTGGGAGGGGGAGGTGTAGGATCGTGCATATAAGAGCCAGGCACAGGATTTCCCTGTATTAAGAAGGCTTCATGTATCTCCTCATTCCCCCTCCCTCAGGAATGCAACCAGCATATGGTGCTGAGCCCTGCCTAACAATTCCTCTGCCAAATAAGGTAGGGAAAATACTAGTTGATGTTGTGTAGAAAAAGAAGCTGTTAGTTCTTGTGAGGAGTCAGACAAGTGAGGACCATCTCGATACAACACCTTTCGGACAGAAAGCAAAGGAGAATCTCGCGGCAACAACAAAACCCAATGCGAGACCAGAAATCCCTTTTTTAGCTCATCAGACTCGACCCTGCTTAACTCAAGGCATTTATTTGGCAAGTACTTATTTACCTAAACTTCTTTGTGTTATCTGTGCTGTTGTGCTCTGTATATATATATATATATATATATATATATATAATGTTACATCTTCTTTCTGTAAATATTCGTACTGCACCCTTTTAACCTTTTGGGTAATAAATCTTACTTTCTGAAAGTGTTGAATTGTTTCTATAGCTCTTAATTGCAATTTACGAATTTATGGTTCTCAAAAAAGCGCTACTGTGAGTATTTAACCCTCTGTATAACCGGTCTGTAGAAATAGCGGTATACTGTCGATTAACCAATCATCCTAGTGAATTGCTGAGTTTCCTCTTTTCTCTGTATAAAAAGGAGGTGGTGGCAGTGTGAAAGGTTAATTTTGTAATTTAACCTGACCCAGTAACAAGCGCATGCAGGCTGCCGGTACATCGATTGTGGTCCAAGTAGCTGCAAAATCGTTAAGCAGGGTGCAGTTGGGTGTGGCATTGTTACGCACGTGACAGTGCGGTTTCAGATTGGCTAGTTCTTCGGTCGCGAGTTTGGTGAGAAGGGCTGGGGTATGACGCGGCGCTCGTCACAGAAGGTGCTTGTCTTTTTTCCCTCCACTCCTACAATGCTTCATTTAGCCACCATGCGCTAGGAAAAGAAGGCCTTATTTATTTATTTTTGTTTTAAAGCTCCAAGTTGCTCACGCAAGGTTAACACACTCTCCCTTCTCCACATGACAACCGTGGGCCAAACCGAAAGCACCAGCGTTGCCACACCAAAAAAAGGGGATTGAGCCATATGCTTCTCCATACCTTGAATTACAGGGTATTTTTTTTCCTTCCCAGAAGCTGAAGACAGCATCAGGGAGGTAAAGGAAAGCTGAGTATGTGGTGCTGGGGAGAGATACATTAAAGTGTATATGTCTATATAACTACTGCAGGTACAGAGATACTAAGGTCATAAAAGGACAAAAACAAATTGGATGTATTGTAAAGCTGCATGGAAAATATAGCTACTATGTTTAAAGCTAAATAAAAAATTAAAATGCCATAAACTATAATCTTTTAGCAATTTTTAAGGGAAGGAATCGCATACAAAGCTGTGTGGTATAAGCTTGCCGTGCAACCAATGTTTCACAGAACTACATGTCTATTTTACAGAAATATAATGAGACTTTTTCAAGAAGGCAAAAAACAAAAAGGGGCCAATAGCAACCGATCACAATTCACCTTTCACTGGTTTGATGAGAGCAGAAGGAAGTCTAGTGCTTACTTTCTGCTTACTGCACCGTGGCTTTGCTTTCGCGCACTGTTGAATGAATAAGCCAGGATATGTTCTGTAGAGAGAAGGTGAACTGAGGTGTTGACAGTCAAGTGTGAAGGTAGCGGAAAAGCTTGCATTCTCTAGTCAAAAATGCCAGCTTAACATTACCAGCCAGATAAGAGAAGACAACAAAGTTTCTTGCCTTAGGGATCAATGAAAACACTTGATTTAAATTAACTCAGATCAGAAGATACTTTCTACCACATCAGGAAAAAAAAAAAGAAAAAACAACATGAATACATCCTCAAACATAAACAAAATATCAGAGAATACATCAAATATGTTGTCCCATCTTTACGGTTTCTATACACATACAC